AATGGTCATCAACAATAGTTAGAAAAAACTTATGTTGATCATGTGTGGGGGTGTGGTAAGGGCCCCAAACATCCACATGTAACAGATTAAAGCAAGAAGTTGATCTACTGGTGCTGAGTGGAAATGGCTGTCTAACATGCTTTGCAAGTGGACAAATATCACAATTCATATTTTCATCAGAAACAGCAGTCTTTATTTCAGAAAATTGTTTCAGTTTGACATGAGGTATGTGTCCAAGTCGTTTATGCCAAAGACTTACAGACACTAAACAAGAAGTTCCCAATGGTTTCTGCATAGCATGATGATGATTTGTTGGAACAGAACAGGGCATGAAGAAATAAAGGCCATCTGCTTCTTTACCAATCCCCAGCACTCTGCCACTTGAGAGGTCCTGGAATATACAGAAATCAGGATAGAAAGACACAAAACACTTCAAGTCCCTGGTGAGTTTTGCTATAGAGATCAGATTGAATTTGAAATCAGGTACAAATAACACATTGGTTAACTTTTGATTAAGGCCAATCATATATGAACCAATATGAGAAACTGATGATTGATGTCCATTAGGAAGTCTGACTGAAGATGGAGAAGTGGACTCCATTAGATCTGTGAGTTTATCCAGGGATGCTGTCATGTGGTGACTAGCACCTGTATCAAGAATCCAATAGTTTTCATGATGCAGTGATGAAAAATAAGAATGGATACCTGCCATGTTGACAGTGGCATCGGTTGATGCTATCATAGAGGGTTCCCTTTGAAGCAACTTCAGTATCTCTGCATATTGTTCTTTAGAGAAAACTGGAGCAGTTGGACTTTCAGTGGAAGATGGAGTAATGTCTGGCTGTGTGACAGAAGTAACATTGCTGGCAGAAGATTGATTAGAAAATTTCTTCTTTGTAAACTTGAAATCGGCAGGATAACCAATCAATCTATAGCAATTGTCTTTCTTATGTCCTCTCACATTGCAGTGTTCACAAATAATGCTCCAATTTTTCTTTGTCTTTGATGAGTGTTGACTAGTATTTGAAGATGAATAAAGGACAGTTGGTTCTAGTGAAGCTGACTCAGTTGGAGCAGTATTGATAAGGTTCCTTTGGCTTTCCTTAGTAACAAGCATGGAATATGCTTGATTTACAGATGGTAATGGGTTCATCATTAATATTTGACTTCTAGCATGCAAGTAGGTTTCATTTAATCCCATTAAAAACTGAAGGAGTTTCTGATTCTGCATGTGATCAACATATGTTTTTGACATGGAACACTCACAAGTTGGAAGCTGAATTATGGATGAATATTCATCCCATAGCAATTTCAGTTTGGAGAAATATGTGGAAATTGAATGAGTCCCTTGTACCAAAGTGACTATTTCCCTATGTATTTGAAAGATTCTGGATCCATTAATTTTATCAAATCTTTCTTGTAAATCCCTCCAAACTAGATGCGCACTTGTAGCATAGACAATTCCATTTAAGAGTTCCTTTGTTACTGAGTTCATGAGCCATGAAAGCACTATAGCATTACACCTATCCCATTGATTATGCAAGCTAGCAGAATACATCCCCCTCAAGGGTATCTTAGTATGGTCTTCAGACTGAGCTTAGATATGAATTTTTCATGTTGAACTCTGCCAATCCCTTGGTCATGACATCTGCCAATGTTCTCAGTCGGGACAAACTTTGTATTCACCATTCCACTCTGAATCTTTCTCTTATGAAATGGCAATCTATACGATATGTTTGTTCTTTCATGAAACATAGGATTTGCTGCAATCTGCAAAGCAGCCTATGTTCACAGTGTAACAAAGCTGGAGTTATATCTTTTACGTTAAGTTCTCTAGTAACCCAATCAGCCACGTCAATCTGCAACTGCTGTAGCCATTGCTGTATTCAGCTTCTGCAGAGACCTAGCTATTGTATTTTGTTTCGTGTTTTCCGATAAAGAGAGTCTCAGCTTAACACAATATCCTGAGACGATTTCCTGTCCGGCACAAGAGGCACATCTGAATCACAGAATGCTACCAACTCCTTTGGACCTTTTGAAGACATAAACAATCCAAGAGCTGGCTCTTTCTTTATAACGATCACTCTAAAGCAGCTTCCAAATGTGATCTCTTAGGAGATTGCATATGTGGCTTAACGTCTGGACAGCAAACGCAATATCTGGCCTGGTTACAGTTAGATATAGCAACCTGCCAATCATCTTCTGAAGATACTAGGATCTCTAATAATGCGTCTTAGTTTCTGGATTAAATTTCTGATCAAACTAATTGGGTGAGTTTTAGATTCTGCTCAAGGGGGTATCCGCCGGTTTGCACCAGATAATCCAGCTTCTGAAATGAGTTCAAGTGCGTATTTCCTTTGATTTAATGCAATGCTTCAGGGGATGGCCACTTCTATACCCAGAAAAATTACGAGGTGACCAAGGTCTTTTATCTTGAAATTGTGTTGAAGGATTTTCAACTGATCAATCTCCATGCTGTTGCCGGGATTAGAATGTCATCTACATATACCAGTAGAATGACAATGTTGCTGCCCTCCTTTTAGTGAATAAGGAGTAATCATGTTTGCTTTGTGAATAGCCATTGTGATTAATGCATTCGTGGAGTTTGAGGTTCCATTGTCGGCTGGCCTGCTTTAATCCATATAGGATTTGAGTAATTGCAAACCATGTTAGTCTCCCCTGATTACCAAATCCTGGAGGCATGGACATGAAAACTTCTTCAGAGGATCACCCTGTAAAAAAGCATTGAGACATCCATTTGAAAGAGAGGCAAGCATGAATGGAGGCCAAGGCCAAAACTGATCTGACAGTAACCATTTTGGCTATGGGGAAAGGTTCGGTGTAATCAATTCCAGCTTGTTGGTTGTATCCTTTAGCTACAAGCCGGGCTTTAACCTCTCTAGGCTACCATCAAGGTTATACTTGACTTTGAAACCCATTTACAGCCGATGGGATGTTTGCCAGGTGGAAGTGGTACTATAGTCCAGGTTTGGGGCCTCCAAAGCTGCTATTTCTGTTTTCATTGCAGCAACCCAATTGGGGTCTGTAGAAGCCTCATGAAAGGATGGTGTTATGGTATAATCATGCTTAAGCTTATCAACTTGTTTCTGAAGACATGCAACAGAAGTTATCAAGTTTCTAAGCTTTCTAGCCAAAAATAATAAAGGAGATACAAAAGGCTAGAAAATATCTACCAACAACAGTTACTTCCATCCTATAATGACGATATTTCTCCAAAATGTCATCCACAGTCGGGGTGCATGAAAGTTTAACAAGCTGGAAGAAAGGTCATATAATCAAATAAGTACCATGTTATGCATGACCCTGAAATGTAATGATGAATGTTAGATACTGCTCCTATGCTTATATTTTGACAAAGTGTAATCCATATATTATAAAATATAAATTGGGCAAATTTAACTTTTCGACCCTGAGTTTTCATTACTTACAGACACACAAAATTTTGACTCATTTTGGTCAAAAACTACCGTCACCATTTTTAAATATACTGTAAGACTCAACAAAAGTGGGCGTATTGAAGCTTCATTTTACACAAACCTGAGCTCAGTTTGTATCAAACTTCCACAAGTATGTAAACCAATTAGCTATTTATGGATATATTTGTCAATTCTGAAAAAGATCTATTACGAGTTTAAGTCTTTAACTTTTGAGTGCCTGCATACCAAAGTTCAGTAATCAATATATGTCTTACTCATTTTTCAGTTTTCTGCTTGAGCACTGACTTTCAATACTTTTATCTCAGCAACATCCATGCTTATTTGCTTCACTCTGAAGATCAGCAAAGAATTGTTTGCATTCATATTCAGATTTCAAGCTATCCTTCTGAGCTGAGAATCACAACTAAAGATAATCAATATATACTGTGAACCATTCAATTGCAGAATATATCTTCTCTATTGGTTTCTTCTTTTGTGCTGTTGTTAAGCTATCTCAAACTACTGAATCTGACCCCGTGTAGAAAAGTAAATTGCTTTATTCTTTTATGTATAAGTACATGCCTATAGTTTACGGGAGAATCCAGCTTGTTTATGTATTGTAAATTTCTGTCTAATACAATTGCTATAACCTCTTGATGCATTTTAATTTAATCTATCCCATTTTTTAATCAAATTTCTAGCAAATGCATTTTATTTTCAAAAACGAAGTTATGGAATTACTTCGGCTTTTTCTTACTGATTTTGTGATGCAACTTCTAAAACGTATGACAAAGAAGGATTTAGCTTTAAAGAATAAATATGGACAGACAGCTCTGTTTCTTGCTGCTGGACCTGGAACCGTGACACTTGTCCGTGTGATGTTGGAGAAGAAGGAAACCTTAGCAATGATCCGAAATGGTGATGGGATGTTTGATGGTTTTTAATTGAATATCTATGTAACATATCTGATTCTAGCAATGTTATTTTGCAAAACCGATGACTTTCTGAACATAATCATTAAAAAAACAAAAAAACTAGTTCAACTTAGTTACTCAAGTCTATTTTAACAGGTGGAGGCAGCAAATGAATGACATTACTAATGCCATCTGTTAAAAGGAAGAGAGAAAACTGATCTGAAAGAAATGAAGAAGAGAGACACGTAAAATGTGTTTCTATATTTTCGTATCATAATCAGTTTTGATACAAGGATATATATACATGCATTCTGTTACAAAACTAACTGCTAACTAACTCTTATAACTAACTCTTATTTATAATAACAAACTTCTAACTGAATGTTGCCACCTCACTTTGCCAGCTTGATTCTCAACACCATCTAATAATCGAAATGGTAGTTAAATTAATTCATTTATCTTTGATGGCAACAGATGGTAGACCATCCAACAACAGTAACTTGTATTAAATCCAAAGGGGAATAAATCATGCCAGAAAATGCACCAATGCATCCCTACTAGTATCAAAAAATTAAAGCAAATTACTTGTCATACCAAAAATATAAGTAAAAAAAAAAAAAAAAATGAAGAGTTGACATACATTAAGGGGAAAAAGCGAAGGCCTTAAACCTGCCAAACATATTACAACATTACAATTGCTAGTGCTTATTTTCTTTTTGAATTGTATTTCAATCGTGTCCAAGGATTTGATTAAGATCACAAATAAACAACAGTACCTGCTTTGCGACATTCAGATTTACATAGAGGGCACTTTGAACCAAACTGCGCTAATCTGGGTATACACGAACTGCAGGGAATTCATTAAAGATAATTAAAAAATACAACACTTATTTTTCCCATAAAAAATCTAGAATAAAAATAATTTCATAGGAAGATTAAAAAAAGCTTATTAATGTTTTATCCAAATGGCGGAAATTCTTACCCGGGCCAACCTGAAAGCTGGGAATACCTCACTCGTGATAATCCCACCACACCATGGAACAAAAACAGTTTTACATTCTATGCTATCAAATTAAATTCAACAATTACAAAAATTTGACCTTTCATGTGGAAAACTGTTGCCTTTTCTATTGTACTATCGGCTCATGAACACAATAACAAAACCGAAACATAAATTTCAAACTAATTCCGCAACTCTCCTTTTTCAACTTGTTATGCCTTAAAAGTCACGCTTATGTCAACTCATTTAATGTCTTCTTGTACCAGCTGCCAAGCCCATATCTCCTCAAAGATATTCACACCAACTTTATCTCATTTCAAAGAGATGAATGGACGAGAGCCTTCCATGTGTCAAAACAACTTGCAAAACATTCATTACATTGAGTGCAAAGGTGTATAAATGGGCACTCCTCTTTCGAAAGAAGGGGGCTGGGCTGAGATTTGAGCTTCATTTCATTCTCTCTCTGTAAACACTGCATTTCTTCATCTTTATATGCCTTACGGGCAAAATCATAGAAATAGTCAAAGATCAATAAAATAACAGTGGATGTAGGAGTCACTTGTTGAGCATCCGAACCACTATAAAAACCCCTTCTTGCCAATCTTTTATTTATTTTTCTGCAAAATATATAATCTCAGCTCTATATTCAAATCTCATGGATCCATTCACGTGTGTCTCCTGAGTCAGCTTAGCGTTTCCCACGTGCGAGTCGTTGGCGTCCAAAATCAAGCGTCAACAGTTTGGTGGCCCATGCAGGTCTGATTCTTAAGCCTGCGTCCAAGTTCCCTGATGGCGTGCTTAGATCTCAAACCTGTATCAGAATTCTCCAATCGTGTGGCCAGATCGCAGATCGCACATGTTAGAGTTCTCCAATTGCGTGGCCAGATTGCACGAGTCAGAGTTCTTCGATCGCGTGGCCAAATCGTAGATCGCACACGTTAGAATTCTCCGATCGCGTGGCCAAATCGCAGATCGCATGGATCAAAATTCTCCAACCGCGTGGCCAGATCGTAGATTGTATGCATCAGAGTTCTCCGATTGCGTGGCCAGATCGCAGATTGCACGCCCATGTCGTCCTGATCCTTAGCTTCAGATCGCAGATCTTTAGCTTCAAATCGCGTGTTCAGATCGCTGATCTCTTGTGCTCTTAGGTAGAGCTCGTTATGATCTCTCAGGTTGAGCTCGTTATGACCTTTTCAGGTCGAGCTCGTTTTGACCTCTAAGATTGAGGTTGTTTTTCTCATTGAGGTCGTTTTGAACTCTCGGGTCGAGTTCATTTTGACCTCTCCGGTCAAGGTCGTTTTGACCTCTTAGATTGAGGTCGTTTTGCTCATTGAGCTCGTTTTGACCTTTTCAAGTCGAGCTCGTTTTGACCTCTAAGATTGAGGTCATTTTTCTCATCGAGTTCGTTTTGACCTCTCAGGTTGAGGTTGTTTTGACCTCTTAGATTGAGGTCGTTTTACTCATTGAGCTCGTTTTGACCTCTCAGGTCGAGGTCATTTTGACCTCTTAGATTGAGGTCGTTTTGCTCATTGAGCTTGTTTTAACCTCTTAGATTGAGGTCGTTTTGACCTCTCAGGTCGAGGTCGTTTTGACCTCTCAGATTGAGCTCGTTTTGTTAATTCAGGTCGTTTTGACCTCTCAGGTCGAGGTCGTTTTGCTCTCAAGTTGAGCTCGTTTAGCTCAGATTGAGCTTGTTATGACCTTTCAGTTCGAGCTCCTAATCCTAACAGATTTTAGGTCGTTTAGCTCAGATTAAGCTCGTTTTGCTCTCAAGTTGAGCTCATTTTGCTCAGATTGAGCTCGTTATGACCTTTCAGGTCGAGCTCCTAACAGATTTCAGGTCGAGCTCCTAGCAGATTTTAGGTCGTGCTCCTAACAGATTTCAGTTCGAGCTCTTCAGTTCGAGACTACAGCCATTCAGATCAAAGACCTTAGTTTCTGAAGCGCGATTACGCACTTCAAAAATTGGGGGGCTTCTGTTATGCCTCAAAAGTCACGCTTATGTCAGCTTATTTAATATCTTCTTGTACCAGTTGCCAAGCCCATATCTCCTCAAAGATATTCACACCAACTTTATCTCATTTCAAAGAGATAAATGGACGAGAGCTTTCCATGTGTCAAGACAACTTGCAAAACACTCATTACATTGAGTGCAAAGGTGTATAAATGGGCACTCCTCTTCCCGAAGAAGGGGGCTAGGCTAAGATTTGAGCTTCATTTCATTCTCTCTCTGTAAACACTGTATTTCTTCATCTTTGTATGCCTTATGGGTAAAATCATAGAAATAGTCAGAGATCAATAAAATAACAATGGATGTAGGAGTCGCTTGTTAAGCATCCGAACCACTATAAAAAACCCCCTCTTGCCAATCTTTTATTTATTTTTCTGTAAAATATATAATCTCAGCTCCATAGTCAAATCTCCTGGATCCATTCATGTGTATCTCCTGAGTCAGCTCAACATTTCCCACGTGTGAGTCGTTGGCGTCCAAAATCAAGCGTCAACACAACCAAACATAGATGATTAAACTAAACTCAAGCCAAACCCCATACCACATAAAATCATACGATGATCAAACAAAACAAAAACCTAAATTAAAAGCAAACCCAGTTCATAAAATACCTACCCTTCTCGTTCTCCGCTTGGATCCTTCGAAGAAGCGTGGTCATTTTGCCGGCAAACATGGATCCCACAATCATGTGAATTTCACCTGATGATGAAGAATTAGAGGCCTTGGTTTACAAGATTCGATTTTGAACAGAAAAAATCGAGAATTTAGGCGAAACCATTGGGGTTTAGGTTTAGTGCAGATAAATCTTAGGGTTTGAAGAGTGTTAGGGTTACAAAAATCAGATTTTGAGGCGAAAGATGAGGCCTTTGTGAGGTAAAGAGACAAGGGTGTGTGTGTGAATGGTGGGGCTATAATAGACTTCATGCTTGAAATAGTTAAACTACTTCCATTGCCGCATAATCCTTATACCAAATTGGAGGCAGTCGAACTCTTCTTGAAACTCTTCTTTCATTTTTAGCCTTGTCATCTGCATCTTCCTCCGCTCTCCTAACATTGCCCATCCTATCCGCCACAACTGTGTCCTCAAGGTTGGAAGGCAACCCCCCAGAACCAGTAACCAAATTTGCAGCATCTTCTCGAGATGCATCCTCCAAAGGTAGTCCTTCCCATTGTACCAATACCTACTCCACCAACCCACCTTTCTGTCACACCACACGATAGCCAACCACTGCCAGAGGTGAAACCAGAGGTTGTCCTTGATACGTCGAAGGCGACAGCCATACTGTATCCTGTGGTGCATAGCATGACAAGGTTTCAATAAGGATACATGAAATACGGGATGAATCCGAGAGTCCGGTGGTAACTCTAGCTTATAGGCAACCTTCCCCACCTGCTTGAGAATCTTAAATGGACCATATAACTGTCTCCCTAGCTTGGAATATGTATCACCATGAACAGAGAGCTACCAGTATGGTTGCAGCTTCAAATAGACTAAATCTCCCTCCTGAAACTCCAAGAAATGCTTGTGCTTGTCAGCTGATCGTGCCATCCGTTGTTGTACGTGAAGCAAATTGGACTTCAATTCTCGTAGAATGCTATCACGAGTGGCAAGAGTACTTTCCACTGCATCCAACTTTGATTCCCCTACAGCATATAGACAGATCAAAGGAGGGTCACGCCCATACACTAACTTGAATGGCGTAGTGCCTGCAGCTGAATGGAAGGAGGTGTTGTAAGAAAGTTCCACCCAAGGTAAGAAGTCAAACCACCTCTATGGCTGGTCCATAGTGAAACAACAGAGGTACTGCTCTAACATGTGATTGGTAACTTCCGTTATGCCTTCCGTCTGTGGATGATACACTAAACTATGGCTACGTGTAGTGCCATTGAGCCGAAATAAATCCTGCCAAAAATTACTTAGAAAAATAGGATCACGATCACTCAATATGGACTTGGGTAGGCCATGTAGTTTGTAGATCATATGTAAGAATAAATCGGCAACTTTGGCCGCTGTAGACCCCTTGCGCAATGGACCAAAATGCACGTACTTCGATAATCTATCAATCACTACCATGATCATTGTATAACCTGCTGACATAAGTAACCTGATGATAAAATCCATCACAACATCATCCCAAACTTGAGCCGGAATTGGCAAAGGTTGAAGAAGGTTGGCTGGAGAGAGAGCCTGATGTTTTGCTTGTTGACAAATGTGGCAATTTCGAATGAAATATTTAACATCAAGGCCTAATCCTTTCCAATAAAAATTTAAGGCAATCTTGCTTTCCGTCTTGCGAATGCCACTGTGACCTCCTATGGGAGAAGAGTGAAACTCCTCTAGTAACTGCCCCATAAGTCGTCTCAAGGTGGCACCATAATATGCCCCTGGTAAAACAACAATTTATCAGGAACATAATACCCTGGGTGCAAGCTTGGATCTCTTTTTACTTGCTTGATCAACTCGACACATGTGGTATCTTGAAGAAAGGCCTCTTGAATCTGTTGTAAAATGTCAAAAACCAAGACTGTTAAAGCAAGTACTTTCGGTTCCTTGGTTTCTTTATGCTGGTGGGACAAAGCATTTGTGGCAGCATTGTCTTTTCCTTGTTTGTAAGTGGCAGTAAAATCAAAGCCGAGCAACTTGATTAGGTAGTTGTGTTGTTCGGGTGTCTGGATTACTTGTGAGGGAAGATTTCATAAACTCTGCTGATTAGTGTGGATAAGAAATTTATGCCCCAAAAGATATTGACGCCAACACGTCAAAGCCTCTGTTACCGCGAATAACTCTCTCACATACAAGGAAGCTCGTTGCAGTCTCAACGACAGTTTCTTACTAAAGAAAGCAATCAGTTGGCCTTATTGCATGAGAACAGCCCCTATGCCTGTGCCCGAGGCATCGGTTTCAACTACTAACATGTCTTGAAAATTCGGTAAGGCCAAAACAGTGCTTTAGTCATTGCCAATTTTAGATTATCAAAATCGTTCTGAGCATCCATGGACCATGCAAACTTGTTCTTCTACAATAGATCGAGAGGTAAGGGGTGCTGCCAACGTAGCATAAGACTTTACGAAATGCCGATAATACCCTGTTAACCCTAGGAAGCCATGCAATTGTTGTATTGTGCTTGGGATAGGCCAATCGGACATGGCTTGAATCTTTACTGGGTCAGCTTCTACTCCTTCTACTGAAACAATATGGCCTAGGTACTCCAAACGATTTGACTCCAGATACACACTTTTCCATTTTAGCAAACAACTGATTTTCCCTCAAACACTATAGTACAATCGAAAGATGGTGCACATGATCCTTTAGCCCACAACTGTACCCCGAGATGTCGTCAAAGAAAATAATAACAAACTTACGCAGGAACGGATGAAATACGTCATTCATTATACTCTGAAAGGGTGCGGGAGCGTTAGTGAGACCAAACAGAATCACCACAAACTCATAGTGACCCTCGTGGGCGCGAAAAGCCGTTTTGAAAATGTCCTCCTCTACCATTCAGATTTGATGGTACCCAGAACGAAGATCAATTTTAGAGAATATAGTCGCACCAAATAATTCATTTAGAACCTCATCCACTATAGGAATGGGAAATTTATCAGGAATGGTACCAATAATACTGGTGAGGAAAACAGACTACAACTTGGGCGAATAAACCTGCTTTCTAGCATTTCGCACACCATGCACTCTAGCTCACCCTTCTGAAAATGGGAATACCAGTATGGCCTAACTTGAACAGGTAGAGCAGCGGTAGGAAGAGGAATCCGATGATCACTAAGGCGTTGAGGAGGCAGCTTTGTAGGGATGTTAAAGACTAACCCATATTGTGTTAAAACGCCGCTGATGGCTAGTGCAGGAGCATAATTTTGTAGTTGTGTACATGAGGAAAAGGAACCTGAAATATCAAAACATTGGAAATATTCATCAATGGAATTCATATTGAACAAACGTTCCAATCAATGGAACTGAATTGGGGCAATGCGTTGGGGTTGTCAGCCTTGCAAAGTCAAAGATTTGCCCTGCCAATCAAAGGAGACGATTAAAGCCTTGTAATCCATAAGAATAGGACCCAAATTCGCCAGCCACTGCGCTCCCAAAACAAGATTTGCGCCACGAATTGGTAGGACAAATAAATCCACTGGAAATTCATGGCCATCTAGTTGCAGAGAAGCATTTGCACACACCCTAGAACAATGCATGTGATCTCCATTGCCACTCATTACGGTAAAGTTGGTAGAAGCCACTATAGGGAGGCCCAAATGAATACTCTTTGTATGAAATTATGGGTAGAGCCGCCATCAATTAACACTTCCACTTGCTGACCCTGAAGACGCCCACTCATCTGGATGGTACTTGGATTGCGCTATCCCAAGAAGGCATGTAGACTAATTCCCGCCATCTCCGGATCCCCTAGATTGTCAGCTCTGTTCGTGGTCTCAATTTCAGTTAACTTATCTGCATCCTCCTCAACAGCGAGTAAGTAGAACTTGGCCTTACAACGATGTCCAGGATGAAAACATTCCTCACAATTAAAACACAATCATTTTTCACGGACGGCGCGCCTGAATTTGAGCAGGAGTTAAACGCTTAATGGGAAGTGAAGTGGCACGCCCGTTCGATGAGACCTCTGAACATCGAAACGGCTCTGTTGTGGGTAGAAGGGGCGGAAGCCCGGATGATGGAGTATATCCTGGTCTCTGAGAGTCCCAACTACGCGAACCCGACATACGTAACTGCTGTTTTAATTAACCCAATTTATCCTCCTAAAGCCAAGCCAATCCTGTTGCTTGCATTAAAGAAGTCAGCTAAAACGAGCGAACCTCATGCTGAATATCAGATTTTAGGCTCGAAATAAAACAACTAAGGAGAAAGGAAGCAGAAACACCTACGACTTTATTGGACAACTCTTTAAATTGATTCTGATACTCAACAACTGACCTTTCTGCAAAATCTTAGCCAACTTCTCCTGTTAATCCACGAAAGCCGATGGACCAAATCGAGTTTGTAAATCTTGTAGAAAGGATTGCCATGAGCGCAGTTGTCCGTTGGCGAGCATCCAACGATACCAAGACAAGGTCGGGCCCTCCATATGGAAGGAAGCGATGGTTAAGTGCTGCATATGTGGGGTATCATGATAATCAAAAAACTGTTCAGCCTAAAACTGCCAACCGTCAGGGTCTGTACCATTAAATTGAGGAACTTCCAACCTAAAAGGCTTGAAAGGAATGCCCCCCGAGTTCGCGTGCTGGAATCCTGAAGTAGAAGAAGAAGTAGCACCGCCTGTCTGATTACCATTCGTACCACCTCCTATCAACGGTTGCGCACTTTGCAGTGTCTGCTGCCTGTCCACGTGTTTTGCATTCAAAACGAAAACCTTCCTACCAAATTCTTTTAAAAATTGCCCCAAGGACTCTAGTTGTTCAACCATAGTGGCCTGACTTGTCACCAAATGACTAAGGGGGTGTTTGTCTAAGCTTATGAAAATTAGCTTATAAGCAACAATTGCTTATAAGCTAAAATTAACTTATAAGCATTTGAAATTTTAAGCAATTACGTGTTTGGTTAAAGTACTTATAAGTGACTGATAAGTAATTGACATGTTTGGTAAAATGTGGCTTATAAGTACATTTTATTATAAAATTACTAAAAAAGGTACTACATTAAACAATGGCATACTATGGAATTTTAAAATTAAATAAGGATAATATGGTAATATACTTGGTCAAACTAGCTTATAAGCAAAGTGCTTATAAGCCAAAAAAAAAAGTACCTCTCCCTCAACTTATTTTTTTTAGCTTATAAGCTCAACTTATAAGCTCAAAAAAATTATAAACAAACAGGTCAGCTTAATTTTAGAGCTTATAAGCAAGTTTGACCAGCTTATAAGCTTAGACAAACACCCCCTAACTTGTGCATCAAGAGTTTTCAAACAAGTACCGTTGGCCATTGGACAAAAGCACCAATTGTTAAGATAAATCTGCTCTGTATGAGTGAATAGTACCTCCCAAGAATAAAGAGAAAGAAGAGGCTTAAGAGGCTTTTATTAATTAACTGATAACCTACTTTCCAAATCACTACTCTTTTAAATACCCAACAAACGACGCCTTCCTAATGAAGTTAGGAATCCTATTTAATGTAAACTACAGATAAGACATAATCATCCTTTCTAATACGAGAGAAATCCTAATTAACTACTAGTCTGATCAGAATCCAAAAACAACTAAACTACTTCCATTGGCACATAATCCTTGGACCATATTGGAGGCTGTCGAACTCTTCTTGAAACTCTTCTTTCATTTTCAGCCTTGTCATTTGCATCTTCTGCATCTTCCTCCTCTCTCATGCTTCTTGACTATTCAGAATAAATTGTTGGTGTTACATTATCGCTAATGAGGGATAGTCTTCTTATAGCAATCCCAGATTAATTTTCTGACGACAGCAAATTTATCTAATTAAACTTTAATTATGATTAATGATTATTGAATGCATCCTTATTCCTTACGTTTAAAATTAAATGCCAAGTTTCAGCCATTAATTCGATCTGCTAATGTAGCAACCGATTCAGTCCAATTCTGTCAAATTGAGAAATTTCGGTGGCCCCTTGATTGGACCATATTTTGCGGTCTTCAAGCCATAAACCATTGGTTTGAAAATGGATATCCCTGTAGACCCGTCATGTGTTCAGTCGCAGGAAAGAATTATCGTCCACTTGCAGGAGCATAAACATACAAGTTAATAATCAAAATGGCAAGTGCTAATGCGGAAGGCCTGATTCTACATATACTGTGGACCCAGCATAAGCTGATTTTATTTGCCACACCAACGCTACCGTATTAATTATACAAAACATTAATCTAAACTGCTTTTGAGTTTTGACCAAGAAGATATAATTAATTTTATCAAAGGAATTAATCTAAACTTGGGTATTTTTTAACCGATTCTGAAAATTAATAAATATCTAACATAGACTTATTAAAACGCATATTTTCCCCGCGCTTAACAAATTCCCAATTACAAAATTATTATACTGTACTAGATTCAAAGTTTAAGCAAGCTTAATAAATTGTTGTTAACCTTTAATTTAATCGATTAAAGCATCATGACTTCATATTAGCCTCCTCCGACGTGTAGAAAATTTGTCCTTCATTAATACCATAGAATAATCATGTCTCGACTGACTTGATCAACAAATAAACCTTAGAAAATATAGATATTTATATCCCCACTGATTTGATTTTGATTGACCAAAGAATGTTGGAAAATATTGAAATATAAGAAAATTAACTATTTTTTAAAATTTCTCTCAAGGAGCAACAGCAAAAGCTATCCCAAAGAACACACGCCTTCAAATTGTTTCGAGCAATCATGCAATGCAACTTCTCGGCCTGAACCTGCTCTCATAGCTCAGGGCCGGCTTTAATACTCTTCAATTAATGGAATGGACTACAATTTCGGAATTGACGATAAAGTTGAAATGGGATCATTTTCTTATAATTTTTTCCATGCTTGACCTATTGACTTACAACTGCCCGTGACTTCAAAGGCCGAATATTAGACTTTCTAGCTTTCACATTCGAGCTGTGGAGATTATTAATAAGCCTCCCATAGAACAAGCGGGGCACCACATCCCACGTATGGATATCTCAATTGTCTTCTTTCTTCTGTTTCTCCTGCAAACTCCTCTAAATTCATCTGCAACATTTCAAAAAGTTCTTGAAGAAGGCTCATCATTATCTGTGGACAATTCAAACGACTATTTGATTTCAGCAAATGGTCTTTACTCTGCGGGGTTTTTCAACGTTGGCGACAATGCTTTCTGCTTTGCCGTATGGTTCATCAATTCCTCGCCTCCCGTTGCGGCTTGGATGGCTAACCGCGATAAACCAGTTAATGGAAAAGGCTCAAAGCTTTCACTTTTGAGAAACGGGGATCTTTTCTTAACTGATGCAGGTGGAATCCCCATTTGGAACTCCAAAACCAATTCAACTTCTCCGGTTAATCTTGTGCTTTTAGACACTGGCAATCTTGTGCTCCGGAATTCGGAGACTGTTACCCTCTGGCAGAGCTTTGATTCACCAACAGATACTCTTCTTCCTGAGCAACCACTCACCAAAGACACACAACTTGTCTCTTCAAGAAGCGAAGGAAACTTTTCTTCGGGCTTTTACAAGTTGTATTTTGACAATGACAATGTTCTCCGTCTTCTTTATAATGGTCCTGAGATATCCAGTGTGTATTGGCCAGACCCAGAGCTGATAACCTGGGACGCAGGCAGGACAACATACAACAACAGTCGAATAGCGATATTCAACAATCTAGGGAGCTTCGAATCATCAGATGAACTTTCTTTCATGGCAGCTGATTCTGGCATGGGACCCCAAAGAAGACTGAAGCTTGATTTTGATGGAAATGTTCGAATGTACACCCTACAAGAGGCCACAGGGACTTGGAGTGTTTCTTGGCAAGCCATTTCTCAACCATGCACGATCCATGGCATCTGTGGACCAAACAGTCTTTGCAGTTATTCTCCTGAATCTGGTCGTATATGCTCTTGCTTACCTGGATTCAAAATTAAAAACCCCACAGACTGGTCTCATGGTTGCCAACCTGAATCGCAGATCTATTGCAACCATACGGAGGTCGGTTTCCTCCGTCTCTCACATGTTGATTTTTATGGCTCTGATATTCGATTTATTCCAAATTCCACTTATGAAGATTGTAAAGACGAATGCTTGCAATCGTGTGACTGCAAGGTCTTCATGCTCTTGTTTCGAAACGGTTCGTACAACTGTTATCCTAAATTTCTTTTGGTTAATGGACACCGTTCGCAGAATTTTGATGGAGTCACGTACGTCAAACGGCCTAAAGCTAGAATTTCAATATCAAACAATGACACATCCAAGAAAATATTTTTGATATGTCCAAGTGTACGTCTTACTGAGCTTGAAACAATGTACAAAAGGCCCAAAGAAAATGAATCATTGAGGTTGTTGATCTGGTTCGCCTGTGGTGTTGGGGGAGTGGAAATAACCTGCATCATTTTGGTGTGGTATTTCCTGCGTGGAGGTGATGGAGATTTGAATGCACCCATTCAAGGATATATTATCGCTGCAACTGGATTCAGAAAATTTTCTTACATTGAGCTTAAAAAGGCCACACTGAACTTCAGTGAAGAGATTGGAAGAGGTGCAGCGGGTACTGTGTACAAAGGGACCTTGTCTGATGGACGAGTCGCAGCAATCAAGCGACTCAATGAAGCTAACCAAGGAGAAGCTGAATTTCTAGCAGAAGTAAGTACTATAGGGAAGCTTAATCACATGAATTTGATAGAGATGTGGGGATATTGTGCAGAGGGAAAGCACAGGCTTTTGGTTTACGAGTATATGAAGCATGGATCTTTAGCAGAAAATCTTTCCTCCAACGCACTTAAATGGGAGAAACGGTTCGAAATTGCAGTGGGCGCTGCGAAAGGTTTGTCATATTTGCATGAAGAATGCCTAGAGTGGATCCTACACTGTGACATAAAGCCGCAGAACATTCTGCTAGACTCCGATTACCAGCCGAAGGTGGCGGATTTTGGTTTGTCTAAGCTGTTGAATAGGACTGGGCTCAACAACTCAAGCTTCTCAAGAATAAGAGGAACCAGAGGTTACATGGCTCCTGAGTGGGTATATAACCTTCCCATAACCTCAAAAGTTGATGTTTACAGCTATGGGATAGTTGTTTTGGAGATGGTTACCAGAAAGAGTGCAACAGGTATGCCAACCTTCGACAATGGAGAGGTGACAGGTGATGGAAGATTGGTTAAATGGGTGCGGGCGAAGATGAATGCGACTAGTGCTGGAGAATCTTGGATTGAAGAAATTGTAGACCCCTTGTTGGGGTGTGATTACAACGCAAAAAAGATGGAGCGTCTGGTTAGAGTGGCTTTGAATTGCTTGGAAGAAGACAAAGATGCAAGACCTACCATGAGTCAGGTGGTAGAGATGCTTGTGCGTAGTGAGGATGAGTAATAAGCTATTTGTTACCCAATCATGAAGTCTCCAATGTTATCGCAACTTTTCTCCAAGGTTTCTGGTTTCCGTATCCCACTAAGCTTATGATGTTTCAGAATTAATGAATATATATATTATCGCATACGTACTCTCTGGCAAATCAAAAGTATTTGTACAATAAAATTTTAAAATAAAGATTGGTTCCGATTCTGGGTTTAATTGTGTGGCATTATAAAGCTTTTCACTCAATAAACTTTTCAAGGACAGCTACTTGGATTTTCCCCTTGTGATATTTACTTATATACACACCATTGAGCAGAAAGATATAATCATGCTTAAGCTTATCAACTTGTTTCTGAAGACATGCAACAGAAGTTATCAAGTTTCTAAGCTTTCTAGCCAAAAATAATAAGGGAGATACAAAAGGCAAGAAAATATCTACCAACAACAGTTACTTCCATGATGTTATGTACAAAACGACGTCCACATGTTACCTAAGCTTAGTCATCTTCCTTGGTGCTCGTTTCAACATCTTCCGCAATGTGGTAAGTTGAAAGGAAAAGGGAACTCTGATTCTTTTGCAGGAACCTGCATGAAAAAATAACTGACCTGTCAACCAGCATAAGAAAATGACAAATAGTAATCTTCTGGGAAAGGGAAAAGAGAAAATTATTGATGATTACAAGTAAATCCAAACTATTTTCCAAAAAATTCCTCCCAGAGATATAGTAGAAGTCTATATTTTTCACTCCAAGAATTGCTGAAGTTTTTCTCAAAGAAGTGCAACATTTTTGGTTTACAAAACATGACACCAGTAGGATGTTTGTAAAATTTGTAAAGCTTAGTTGAACTAACTTTTCTGTACCAACCCAGCCACATAAGGTACAGTCACCAGCTTCCAAATTCATAATTACCCCAGTGATGCAAAAGTTTTTACAGATATCCACACGCATTGAAGACCATCCTAAAGTTCAAAGTGAATATAAGCAATCCAACTCTTTCAGCAATAGCCACCATCCAGTAGTTATACATCATATACATTATATAGAGTATATCTTGTCATCAGAAACTGACTCTAGTTGAAAGATAAAATTATAATTGCCTAGAAACAAAAAAGGAAAAAAGAAAAAAAAAAGGATTTAAAAACAACCAATGCAGTGAATAAAAACACAGCTTCTGCCAAGATTTAAAATTTAATCAAGAAATGATAGAGAGCTCATACTCGAGGAAGTCCAGTAACATTTGCTGCACCTTTGTCGACGTATCCTCTTCAATTTTTGCACGGACCAATAACTCTGGCAATTTAACTACAAATGACAGATTACAGTAAACTAACAGCAGCTAATTAAGATTGTTAGGACTTTTATATGACAAAGACGCAATAAATCATCTATCCCAAAGAGAAGTACATGAAGACCAAAAACTGAAATGTAGATCTTTACATCAGAAATTCTTTGACGAGTTAAAAAATGCAATAACAACAACACTATCATTGCTTTATATAAGTGAAAACATGAAGTGGTACATGTTTCTCAACACATTGACTTTGTCTATCAAGGACGAGCTTACCAAAGAGGCGTAATAGATGCTCAGCACCATATATAGTTGAGGGAGCAACCATAACTGCCATGGTGTCTTCATATTGTCGGCGCTCACTTTTGTACAGAAGCATTATTGGCAAAGCTTTGTCAAAGAAAGAATGTAATCCTTTTATCATTTCCCTGGTTGAATCAGCTATCCTATACAGAGGAAAGATTTAATTTTCGCTTATGTATCGGAATTGTTGATTAGAAAGAAAACTGCTCTGCAAAACCAGCTAAGCCTTAACTATAACAATTCAAAAATTGCATGAGTAGAAGGAAGAGATCAAAAGGACACAAATAGTCAGATATTGAACTTACAACCCATCCTTCTCCAACCTATAATGACGATATTTCTCCAAAATGTCATCCACAGTCGGGGTGCATGGAAGTTTAACAAGCTGCAAGAAAGGTCATATAATCAAATACCTACCATGTTATGCATGACACTGAAAGATAATGATGAATGTTAGATACAGGTATACCGTATAATCATTAAAAAAAAACTAGTTCAACTTAGTTGCTCAAGTCTATTTTAACAGGTGGAGGCAGCAAATGAATGACGCTACCATGTATACATATATTGACAACATAATTAACCAATGCCATCTAATAATCGAAATGGTAGTTAAATTAAGTCATTTATCTTTGATAGCAACAGATGGCAGACCATCCAACAACAGTAACTTATATTAAATCGAAAGGGGAATAAATCTCGCCAGAAAATGCACCAATGCATTCTTACTATTGCACTTTACTCATTGTAATTGAATGCCTATAAATTATAAGAAACAATTTAAGAAGTCAGTAGGCTTCATTAGCCATGGGTTCAAAAAATTAAAGCAAATTACTTGTCATACCAAAAATTACGAATTAAAAAAATAAGTAAAAAAAATGAAGAGTAGACATACATGAAGGTGAAACAGCAAAAGGCCCAAAAGAACAAGAAAATCTATACAAGTTCTATAGAACCTTTAGTCTAGAATGCACATCTTCTATTATCAAATATAACAAGGTATTATGACACAGACAGAATATAACTACCTTGCCCATATGTGTAATTAATCCACAATCATCAAGTAGTTGCTTCTGTAGAGTTGGCGGAATTTGGAGGTTCACAAAATTTTCCATTGGTATGTGGTCCTTTTCCTACCAATTGAAAAGCCATGGGCTTAGGAAGTAGATACACAAACGATTGATGGATAAAATTAAGCTGACTGGAACACAACTGAATGAATTATCAGTTGAACGGATCCATAGAAATTAGGTATGCATGCATCAGCATAATGAAAGTTAATTAGGCAGACGTACACCAGAGCATACCTTATCAAGGCAGTCATTCTTTCGTTTCTTGCCCCTTGCAACTGCATATAGGCAGAACAGCTTAGAGGAGATCTAATTTCAAGAATAATATCTCTGCTCCAAGGAACTCCAAAGACATTCATGAAAGCAAAAATCTTACAGAACCAGTTATTGCCTCAGTTGTACACAGTAAAAGGTCACAATAGTATTGCCTAGTTCTCGTAAGAGCACATAACAGCTTAAAGCAATGTTGCATTTGAGGGGTCTCCTTTTTGGCTGAAGGAAAACGATTGCTTGTTTGCCTATTTCTCAATAAGTCATCTCTTTTCTATTAACTTATCAGATATATCTAGAAAACCAAGGAAAATGTCCAAAGAATACAGCAACAACTAGAATGTCACTTCACACCAGAATCAGGGAATGCATGCAGAAGACATTGTTCTTTTTAATTCACCTTCAGTCCACTTTCAAGAGAGTTTATGGTAACAGTTTAGTTTCTTTTCCCTTGTCTGTAAGGAAAAAAATTATGATCCATCAATTATAATGCTTAACCCCAACTAAATGTAGGCATGTGATAATATGCTAACATTCCTGCTTTATGCAGTAGATAGTTCCAGTTTTATTGCTCAATAAGGACAAGTTAGATGACTACATGCAAGAAATTACTTCTATAAAAGAAGGACGAAAAAGCTTAACCCATAATTACACAGATTCAAGTTTAGGAAACAGATAAACATGAGATTAAACCTAACCATCAGTACTTCTTGGTTTCATCTGTGATGCATGCCCTAGCTTTAAATTCTTTGATTCAATTGTTTTGTTGTTGGCCAGCTGCCTTTGGACATTCTCATCTGTACGTTTCAGCAGACAATCCACACTGACCCATTCATCCCAGCTGTTGGAAGAAAAAAGTTCAAGAGACTAAAACTTCTGACAGTTTGTTATTAGTACAGTAAATCATCAATAAATGGAAAAATCTTAAGTATGCCAACTTAAAAGAATTAAAAAAAAAAAAAAAAATTCTTCATCTAGTATATTTGTTATAGAAAATTTAACACTTTCTACAAAATTGTATTATGGCGAAAATAAAATTAAAATTTTCCAAAAAAAAAAATCACAACAGCTATTGCATTAGTTGGTGTTATAAAGCTGTAAACTAAATTAAAATGCAACAAGTCTTAGAACTAATTCAACAATTATACTTCCAAGGTCTAACAATTTAACAATCTGAAGTTAAAATAAACCTTTATTTTTCTTTCAAATACAATTATAAGATCTAAGAAACCACCTGCATTTGTCCTGAACAAAAATTATAATTCATTAATTCTTCAACAATCTGTCATTAGTTATATAGACAGGTAGATAGACTCACATGTTATTCCACCCCTGCAAAACAGAGAAAAGATTATGCAATCAAGACACTTTAACAATAATATTCCTGTTCTTTCACAAACCAAGCAACTACAAAAATTAAAATTTAACACAACCAAAGACCATACTTACAAGGTAATGAACAAAATATATAGTGCCCTTCTTCCGGTAATGGACTTTTTTCACCTTAGCATTAAAACAGACTATTATAGTCAGAACAAAAAATAATCCTTAAAAAAGGAATTGGTAGACCCTATAAATGCTGCAAGCAATTTCAAAGTCATGTATGAAATGATTATCTTCCTTCAATTGGTCGAATTATTTACATAAAACTAGGTTCCGTTGATTCAAACAAACGATATAAACAATTTCCTACATTTTCACACCCCTCAAACAATGAGAAAGAAAAGAAAAGTGACAGAGCACCTTGGCATCGTAAATGTGTTTGCAATGAAAGGCGAGGACCTTTTCATTTTCTTCAAACACGGGAGGAAAGTCGTCTTGTGTTTCTGTTTTCTCGGTGTCAGCGTCCATCTTCGTTGCATCATCAGACTCCGTGGCAGAATTGTTATTTAGCCCCGTGTTTGAGCTCCCCATTTTCAGCCGACTTGTTTTTATTTTAACTTCTGTGGCACCAAACACTGATTACTCAGGTAATATTAAGCTTACATATTAAGGGGTTATATAAAAAGATAATCTTTATTTTTAAAAGAAAGAAAAAAGAGGAAGATAGAGACAATCATGAAATTTAAAGGCAAAAACTACCTCGCTCTTTATATATTTCGCTAGTGTTACTATTACTTAAAAGCAGATATTCCAAAGTAAAATCTAAAAAAATAAAATAAAATAATGTGATAGTAAATAGTTTATGAAATTATGACAGATGTTCGGGGGCTCAGGATTGTGGGTGGGTTAGTTGGCGATGGCCATGGCATTGGACTATTTGGAACATTGGGATTTTAATTAACTAGTTCCTGCACATACAGTATTTTAAAACACGTGGCAC